AGAAGACTTCGCAAGGCAGGTGCTTTGGGCAGTATCCTAATCATGAGTTTAGCTCCAGTGAGCTAACCAAACCATTAAATAACAGGACCAGTAGTCTGACTGACAGCTGGGGGGTGGGGGAAAGGGGAGGGAGGAGCTGTAACAAGGTTAATTAATTTTACAAAAAAAGCCTAATTCTATTGAAATCTGCACTTTTTGTAAAATGAAAAATAAGACACACTCTTGACACATAAAACACTCCAATAAGCTAAAATGATTTCAGTGTTTAGCGTGTTCCTGCAACCCCTTTGCTCCCAGCAATGTGCACACTTGTGTTAATGTTTATATTGCATTTCAAAGCAATGTAAAATCAAATGTATCCAATAAAGTCCCTCTAGTCTCCCCTTTAGTGCTTTTATTTGCCAGAGTTTTATTATTATTTTTTTTTTATCATCTCAGTAGAGTGACAGCAAATGGCAGCTTCCTTTCCTAATTCCACTATCTATAGCACTCTTTCTGTGTTAACCAATACAGTTGCAAGTTGTACCAGCCTGGGAGGGTAGAGGAGGGTTCTTTGCACCTTGTTTATACTACAGTGATTCATTGCAGGCTGTAAGAACAGTCTGTAGTTCCCTATCTGCTTACAGCAGTTTGGTGATGCCTTTGATCCTAAACTACAAGCCCAAAAAATATAAATTGCAGGATATTCGGCCATTTATTTGTATCTAAGTTGTCACACCTAGTACATGTAACACAATATGTATTTCTGCTTATATGCTAATAGTTCAGAACCTTTCTAAAATATTACTAAATGGTTATGTGCAAAAAATCCAAAATTCAAAATAAAAAAAGTAAAACAGATGTTTGTGGCACCATTGCAATGGCCATTAATGTGTCCTGACATGGTGCACTTTCATTTGAATAATTTTTTTAAATACTTGAGCTACCTTCCGTAGAAATGCAGCAAGCTGGGGAGAAGGTTGGTGTTTGGGTACTCTGCAAAAGAAAGAAAAGTATTTTTTTTTAAATTAGCATTATTGCTCAAAGCATATAATGAAGTGCAAGTCAGTTTCAAAGTAGGTGTAATTCTATCTCTATTGAATATGCCATTGTACAGCGCTACGGAATTTGCTGTCACTATATAAATAATAAAATAATAATAATATGCAACTTACAATTGGTGGTTTCAGAACCAGACATGGTGGGTGAAATGTTTCATCTGGTCTTCTCCAAATGTAAACCTGTCTGAATTTGTTAAATAGGGGGAATGATGACCCCCTCAATATGTATATATTTATTCCCTCACTCAATCATCCAAGTGATGTGGTCCTCATTCCAGGTTATGTGCCTTTATATTGATGCCTGTAGTAGGATCCCAGTGGTTTCCAAATGACAGCCCAACCTTACAGCAAAGCTTCCTTGACACTAAAAGCTAGATTTATCCCAGCAATTCTGGGTGCAAAGTGAGACAAGGGAGAGAATCAGTCGAATACTTTCAAAGCTGGTGCAGTTTTTGTGAGCTGTTTCTGCACGTTAAGCACAGACTATTGCCACTCTTTGGAACTGTACTAATCCCATCTAGTTCTGAAAAATCTACCAATATATATTTCTATATTATATATCTGAAACGTGTAAAATACATCCTAATTCCTTCATTCCTACTTTAATTATGTGTTAATTCAAGTAATATAATAAATCAAGGCTCACATGCTGTACTAAGGCTTATAATAATTGCAAAGTATTTATTCTATAGGACACAATGATCCCCAGTCTCTGTGCATCAATTCTGAAATATCAAGTGAATAGCTCCCATTGAAACCTTCACAGCTACAGTCACTAGGAATCCACACTAACAAGGCATTTCTCATTAGTAAAAGTCATATAAATAGTCTACTGTTATACTATTAATTAATAGAATTATTTACTTAAAAACTATTGGAATAAAAAGTCTTATTGTTGTTATTATAATGATAATATCTTATTTGTAATTAAACTAATATTAATAATAATTGTTGTTATTATTAGAGTTATAAATAAAATAATGATAATAAGTAAAAAAAAATAGTGATAATAATAATAATAAGAAGAAGAATAAGAAGAAGAAAATGAAAAACAATACATCGTATGTAGCAGAATAAAATGTTTGTTTTGCTGAAATAAAATGAACATTTTTTGAAACAATCATTATCATCAACATTTCCAGAGAATTGCTACAATTTTAAAAGCCCCTTATAAATCGTGCAATCTGCAGAACACACGGTGTGACAATAAACTTGGATCGCAGAGCAGTTAATTCTTTATAGAACAAAGTATTACTAAAAATAAACACAAATATACACAAACGAAAACAACACAATTTATTATTATTATTAATATTATTATTATGTAAGGGCTGTTAGGACGACATGGGAATTATATTATCTTATAATTAAATAATTAATTGATTGGGAGCTCTAAATCTCAGAGAATCAGATGGATGCATGTTAAATATGTATTGTATATATTTTCTATGGCTATAGAGAAATAGCAATGCATAAAACGTAGATTTCGTTTATTTATATTAGTGCACTTGGATTAAACGGTAAACCTTCCCAGTTCTCACTTGTTCTTCTTTGTAATAGCTGTCAGTGATTGATCGCTAATTATCAGCCAATCATTCTTTTAGCACATTCTGAGTACGAAGATGAAAATAATTCGAGCTCTGAACACAGACAATGTAATATCTGTTCAATACAATGTATGAGCCGTGTGATCACAGGTTACTATACTGTAACACGTTCTCTATCTGCTATATTGTATCAGTTGTGTGATAACTAACTAATTTAATATACAGTGTAAACCATATATCAACTGGTTTATATAGTGAAACACGTCCTGTATATTTTATATAATGTATCAACTGGTTTATATGGTGTAACACGCCCTATATATTTTATATAATGTATCAACTGGTTTATATAATGTAACACGTCCTATATATATTATATAATGTATCAACTGGTTTATACAGTGTAACACGTCCTATATATTTTATATAATGTATCAACTGGTTTATACAGTGTAACACGTCCTATATATTTTATATAATGTATCACCTGGTTTATAAAGTGTAACACGTCCTATATATTTTATATAATGTATCAACTGGTTTATATGGTGTAACACGTCCTATATATTTTATATAATGTATCAACTGGTTTATATAATGTAACACGTCCTATATATTTTATATAATGTATCAACTGGTTTATACTGTGTAACACGTCCTATATATTTTATATAATGTATCAACTGGTTTATACAGTGTAATACGTCCTATATATTTTATATAATGTATCAACTGGTTTATACAGTGTAACACGTCCTATATATTTTATATAATGTATCAACTGGTTTATATGGTGTAACACGTCCTATATATTTTATATAATGTATCAACTGGTTTATATAATGTAACACGTCCTATATATATTATATAATGTATCAACTGGTTTATATAATGTAACACGTCCTATATATATTATATAATGTATCAACTGGTTTATACAGTGTAACACGTCCTATATATTTTATATAATGTATCATCTGCTCTATGTCCTATGCAGTGCATCAACTGTAGGATATTTGGTTTATTTACGATAACACTTGCTGTATGTTCGATACAGTGTATCAATGTTCTGATAACTGGTTTATTTACTGTAATACTTGCTGTATGTTTGATACAGTATATCAATGTTCTGATAACTGGTTTAATACTGTAACACTTGCTGTATGTTCGATACAATGTATAAATCGAGTGATAACTGGTTTAATACTGTAACACTTGCTGTATGTTCGATACAGTGTATCAATGTTCTGATAACTGGTTTATTTACTGTAATACTTGCTGTATGTTTGATACAGTATATCAATGTTCTGATAACTGGTTTAATACTGTAACACTTGCTGTATGTTCGATACAATGTATCAATGTTCTGATAACTGGTTTAATACTGTAACACTAGCTGTATGTTCGATACAATGTATAAATCGAGTGATAACTGGTTTAATACTGTAACACTTGCTGTATGTTCGATACAGTGTATCAATGTTCTGATAACTGGTTTATTTACTGTAATACTTGCTGTATGTTTGATACAGTATATCAATGTTCTGATAACTGGTTTAATACTGTAACACTTGCTGTATGTTCGATACAGTGTATCAATGTTCTGATAACTGGTTTATTTACTGTAACACTTGCTGTATGTTCGATACAGTGTATCAATGTTCTGATAACTGGTTTATTTACTGTAATACTTGCTGTATGTTTGATACAATGTATAAATCGAGTGATAACTGGTTTAGTACTGTAACACGTGCAGTATATTTTGCACAATGTGTGAATCGTGCGATAAATGTTTTATATAATGGAACAGTTCGAGAGAAGGAAACTCCATCTCTTAATATAGATTCTGGGTCCCTGGCAGGTTTTCCTAAAGCCCCCTTTAATATTTATTTCTGGGAGTTATTGAGCATGAATTGGAGGAAGTTTAGTAAATTCTGTTATTTTCACAGATCTCATTCAACCTGAAGCAGACTGTCTAGTGTTTATAAAAAGGGGAAATGAAAGTTTTTGTCTGTCTGTCTATCCCAGTCCTCCTTCTGTGTGCTCTCTGTACCCCTGTCATTGCATGCATCCAGCTGTGTGTTGTTGTATACTCTAAACAGCAGTAATTAGCCCTGCTATACCCCTGGACACACACTCAGTGAGTGCAGCTGGCTGCTTGGACCCACTTGGATTTCTGTGCAGCTCCCCCATTGGAGATCCTAGGTCTGACAGTGAGGGCTGGTCTCTTCCCAAATATCCACCCCTCCCCTGCCCTGCCCTGAGCTCAGACACAGCACTGGAGAATTAACAGTGAGGTCCTTCTACAAACCCCAAACTTTGCACCCAGGCAGCCACCCTGCCCTGTGAGATCCCTGCTGGTCCTCTCCAACCACTGCTGGACCCTTACCTGGTGCAGAGCTCCTGGTGAATGATGGCTCTGAGCTCCAGGGCTCATGCTTTCTCAGTGGAATCATTGGTGGGGAATTCTCAGAAAAGGAAACTCCAGGACAGCAAAGAAGAGGAAGATAATGAGTCTGGAGACCCTAAAAAAAGAGGGAAGGAGCCCTTGGGGACCCCAAGGAATGATGAGACTGGTTAGTCTTGCTGCTTTGTACCTCCATGAGATATGACAGGGCATTTATAGCTTCTCTGCTAAATTGGATATTATGGATCAGAGAAGGCTGGACAATGAGGATTTATGGAGGAGAATACAGCACAGCCTTACAAAAATCAAGGGATTTGTGTATGAAATTGCCCCTCAAATCTCACTTGTAAATGTTCTATTTTGACATCTTGGCCAGAGTCCATCTCAGATCACAATAGGAGAGTCATTAGCCATATTCAGCTTGATACCAGCTGGGATCACTGATGACATCTGAAAACGCTTTGTGGGATTAATTCGCTCTGTTTCCCTAACAAGTCTTTTTATTAATAATCTCAGCAATTGTGATAGCAAATAGATTGTCCATAAAACGCTGAGGGTCTTATTTAATCGCACAGGTGGTTGTGCTTTTAAAGGATTTAGTTTTCTTTTTGTTTAAATAGATACAATGTTTCTGAGAATTAAACTTTGTAGCAGGATCTGAAAGTTTTCTTGAAAGGAGAATTAGCAGCCTTTAGCAGTCACTTGGGAGTAGAAGTCAGTCCTCACAATATTTATGTGCAAAATACTTACATTTTAATAGACAGTGTATTTATACTCATTCGTGGATTATAATGCATTTTTACATGTAAATAATATTTATTCGTTATCTGTGGGTATGGAGATATAATATTATTAATGTTATCTAATACACACTATTTACACACATTATTATATATATATATGTGTGTGTGTGTGTGTGTGTGTATATTGAATAATATGTGCATGTAATACTTAGTTCATGATGATATCAAATATCTAATGATGTGTGTTCACACTACTATGATATATAGTGTGTGCTTATAATATATAGTACATTGTGATATATCATATATCTAATAATGTGTGCATTTATTATGTAGTGTATTGGGATATATTCTATATCTAATAATGTGTGCATTTATTATATAGTATATTGTCATATATCATATATCTAATAATGTGTTGTTTACACGTAGTGCATTGTGATACCTACAATATCTAACAATGTGTGTATATAACAAATTATGTTTATAACATAAATACATTGTGATATATAATATATCTAATAATGTGTTGTTTTTACAGTAGTGCATTGTGATACCTGCAATATCTAACAATTTGTGTAGATAACATATTATGCATATAACATGTACATTGTGATATAGATTATATATCTAATACATTCTGCATTTAGTACATTTTTACAGTGCATTAAACATATAGTGTATTATGATATTATATATATATAATGTAATAATAACACGCAGTGTATTATAATATCATATATATCTATAATAATAACATGTAGTGTATTATAATATAATATAATATATATAATGTAATAATAACATGTAGTGTATTATAAGATATATAATGTAATAATATCATGTAGTGTATTGTATTATAATATAATATATAAATATATAATGTAATAATAACCTGTAGCGTATTATAATATATATATATATATATATATATATATAATGTAATAATAACATGTAGTGTATTATAATATAATGTATATATAATGTGATAATAACATGTAGTGTATTATAATATAATATATAAATATATAATGTAATACTAACCTGTAGTGTATTATAATATAATGTATATATAATGTAATAATAACATGTAGTGTATTATAATACATAGATATAATAATATTACAGTGTACACATAACATGTAGTGTATTATATATAATATTACAGTGTGTATATAACATGTAGTGTATTGTACTATTTATATATATATATATATATATTTATTATGTACATATAACATGTACTGTATTACAATATATAGTATTATGTACATATAACATGTACTGTATTATAATATTACAGTGTACATAAAACATGTAGTGTAATATTAAAATGTAAATAAAACATGTAGTGTATTATATATATTATGTACATATAACATGTAGTGTATTATATATAATATTATGCACATATAACATGTAGTGCATTATAATATATATTATCACAGTGTACATAAAACATGTAGTGTATTATAATATATAATATCACAGTGTGCTTGTAGTAGGACCACACGGGGCATGTTTCCTGGACCCATTTCGGGTGTCTGATCGCGTCCTCTCGCTGTGTCTCTAGTGGTGAACAGACCCAGATCGGTAGCAGATCCAGACAGGATTTCCCCGGATCCTAGCAGTGTCAGCCCGGACTGTGTGCAGCTCGAATTACAGGGAGCCGAACTCTGGAGGAGATTTCACGAAATCGGTACCGAAATGATCATCACCAAAGCTGGGAGGTACTATATGCACTCCTGCTATATTATAATATTAATTTAAAAAAACAAAACATAAATATTAATAATCACTTAAACAAGGGGGAAATGTCTGCACTCCTGCTATAATATAATATTAATTTAAAAACACATAAATATTAATAATTACTTAAACAAGGGGGTAATGTCTGCACTCCTGCTTTATTATAATATTAATTTAAAAAATAAATAAATATTAATAATTACTTAAACAAGGGGGTAATGTCTGCACTCCTGCTATATAATAATAATAATAATAATAATAATGATAATCAAAAACATAAATTATAATAATCACTCAAACAGGGGGATACTGTCTACTATATAATAATAATAATAATAATAATAATAATAACCAAAGCAGGGACATGCTGTCTGCTAGCATAGTATAACATAATAATAATTAATAATTAATATCTGAATTCTGGAGGTATTTCTTTTATGAAATCATTAACAATTACTATTACTATTAACCTTCCTTATTATTACTACAAATAATAATCACTACCACAGCAATATATACATACTACATTTTATTCATTGTATTTTGCTTATCATTCTTTTTTTAACTTTTTTTATTTTATTGCTCTGCACGGTATATTTGGATGTAATAAATAATGTATATAATTCTAGCTCTTGTATACGTAAAATATGTTTTATTAATACATAGTAAATACGATCTGTGTGTCTGTGTGTGTGTGTGTATAGTGCTGCGTAATGTCTTTTTACAGTATAATAATACTCCTAAAGTGTGACTTTATTTCATTAAAATACCATGGTATTGCGATATATCATTTTTATTTTTGAGGAATTACACAGTTGCTCATTAATCGTTTTATAACTCTGATCCAAAAAAAAGAAAAAGAAAAGGCATCCCCCACCACCACCACCATTTGACGCAATGGCCAGTTATGCAACAAAAAGGCACAAAAGGAAAAACAATCCTTCTGACCTCCACAACGGCCACTACATCCATCCTACAGTGTTCCAGAGATCATTCTATGTACCACTACACACTCGTACACTGACACCCGTTTACCCATGGTCATATTGGCCAAATGACTCCAGAATGGGCCATTTGTCCAGTCCCCAGGCTCTGCGTGTCTGTCAGCAAGGCCAGTTTGCTGTGCACCAAAGGGAAGCATTAACTGTGTTATTTTAACCAGAGGGATTCCAAGTGTGTGTTTATTGTGGAATGATGACACTGACGTCTGGGATTAAGCCGTGTGCATAGGCCAAACCAGATTGAAAGGTGGGCTCTGCTGTTAGGATATCATTGCTAATTTATTCTAAAACATTTTAATAAAGGTGTATTAATGAGAAACTTATTTATGATATTTCGGTAGTATCATACTTATTATTATGGATCATTTCATTCTAGGTAGGCTGGCTAATGCTTTCTCTGTTTTCAATGTTATAGAAATTCCAAACAATTGCCTAGACCATTTCCTGGTTTGATGACAGGTATCTGTCTAGTAAATGGGAGCATTATAATGATTCTAATCATGTGTGTTTTGTGATCCCAGGAGAATGTTCCCCTCTGTCCGAGTGAAAGTGAAAGGCCTGGATTCCTCCAAACAATATTACATTGCCATGGATATCGTCCCAGTGGATTCAAAAAGATACAGGTATTTATTGCTTGATCTTAATTAGGTTACTATTAACAAGAGCATTTGTTCTCCAACAAAATATTACAATTCTCTGTGTAAAAAAATAAGATAAATTAAAAATACTGATCTAGTTTTATATCCTTTTTTCACCCTATTTATTCATTTTAATAGCTGGGATTATTGCAATAGACGAAATGGGGAGTTATAACTAATTTAAAGTTTTAGAAATATTTTCAATTATTCAATATTTAAACTGTTGGATGCAGCAATACATAGACAGGAAATGCACGAATCAAAATGGAATTTTATTTTTTGTATAAATGGAAATTGTTTTAGAAAATTCATTTTGCAACATTAAGCTTAAAACGGATTTGGAAAATGTATCCAGCTCAACAAAAGTCACAGTTTGGGTATTTAAGCCTGAATTTTGCATTGCATTACTACAGTTAGGTAAATAAACTCCAAGGAAATGTAAATTTTGGTCAAAATAGTACCATGTATAAGATTCACCAACTCAGTTAATTTTCCATCTGGACTATTTTAAGATGCAAGGGTAATATAGACTCATTTTATTATAGATTATAGATTATAGTTATTGTACAGGTTTTTTTTTTTATTACAAGCTTTAGAAATTATCTATAGAAGCATCATTACAAAAAAGTAGGGTAACTTTCTAAAAGTAATGCAGTCTCCATGGAAACTGACAGAATGTTCCAGCTCATTGCTCCACTTTTACAAATTGTCTCTACTTTTCTCTTAGCAAAACTTTTATTGTTTTGCTAAGACCTGTTTACATCTTTGTCTTAGGATAGAATGGTTTTCAGGTATTGCAAATACATAGGTACACATTCCATCCATCCATTCATCCACCCACCCACCCATCCACCCACCCATCTGACCATCCATCCATCCATCCATCCATCCATCCACCCACCCACCCATTCATCCATCCACCCACCCATTCAACCGTCCATCCACTCATCCATCCATCCATCCATCCATTTGACCATCCATCCATCCATCCACTCATCCATCCACCCACCCAGCTACCCACCGATCCATCCATCCAAACACCCACCCATCCATCCAACCAACCACCCACTCATCATCCATGCAGGCTCAACCCACACGTCCATCCATCCATCCATCCATCTACCCATCCATCCATCCACTCACCCATCATCCATCCATCCTCTAATGCTCTGTAATGTGATATAATGCAATATATAATGTGTTCTGGTATACTGATACTGTCTGTGCCTGGCTCTAGGTATGTCTATCACAGCTCTCAGTGGATGGTTGCTGGGAATACGGACCATTCCTGTATCAGCCCAAGGCTTTACATTCACCCAGACTCACCATGTTCTGGAGAGACCTGGATGAGACAAATCATCAGCTTCGACAGAGTTAAACTGACAAACAATGAGATGGACGACAAAGGACATGTAGGTGTGCATTTTATACAAATCTATCCATATGAGATTTATTTTACACAAAATCTGTCCAATTTTGGCCCCTCAACTCCCCAAATTGTACAGAACTAAATACTGGTTGATAAAAATAGGTTTTGTCATCAGGCAGCCTGACACAAAAGACTGTAGTGTCCATTTTTATTGACCAGACGCGAAGAGCTGGATGAGCAGGACACAGCGAACTAGAGTCTTCTGCCTAAGGGTGTCTCCCCTGACTACAAACGTGCATTTTTATTCATTAAGCGCCTGCAGGTACCTGAGATTTAAATCTAGCCCAGCAGACACACGCTATTGCGGCCATACCAAGCACCTTGGGTGTAAGGAGGAAGACCAATTTGGAAAGTTCTCCTCTCTGTTGTTGAAATGCGACAATGTGATGTAGTCTGAAATGTGGTGAAAGTTCTAAATAAGGGGCAATCTCCATGGCAACAAATGGAATCAGGATGACATTCCGTTCGCAATTGCTAATTTCACTTTTCAGATTAATAGCTTGAAACCTCTAGTATACCATTTAATAACAACATACAATGTGACAGCAGATAAGAACCCTTTGGTCCATCTAGTCTGCATCATTAGTCCCCTTATCTTATATATAAGATAGCATATCTATCTATCTATCTATCTATCTATCTATCTATCTCGATCTGTGTGTCTTTCTATCACTGTATTGTCTCTTTAAGTTTATTACGGGAGTTTGTTAGAGACAAACAAAAATGTGAGATTTGCCACATTTTACTATTCTGACTTCTTGATCCTCAATATATAAAATATTTTGGCCAAGGATGTGTATTCAGATTAAATTCCTGACAATTCTCACTGTAGTGAACAACCCTGTGTAAAGGGTTAATACGATCCTCAATTCATTTTACTTTTATTGTATTTAATTTTGTATGGACAGTAATTGCTTATAAAACAGAAAGCCCTGGTGAAATTAAAAACTCACTTTTCTAATATATGCCCAGCTGAATGGTTTTGAAAATATTTTTTTTTTTTTTTTGCAAAGGGTTTACTTATTCATTAAAGACAGGAATTGTCAGGAATTAACTCAGAAATTTTAAATCAAAAGCTAGATAGCTCTGAGGGACACAGAGGTGTTGGAGAATCCAGTTATTATGGACTAGAAGTTGTTCTCCAAATAATTCAAAAAAGGCGTACTGGGAATTATCTTTTTTATTTTGATTGGTGTCTATTTTTACAATGAGCAAAGAAATACGGAATGAAAGCAGTGTAAAGGCATTACAAATTCTAGCACTAGAATTTCCAACTGTATAGTTTCAGATTTGGAATATCTTTGCATATATCAACCAATAAAAATAAAGGGTTATGCCCTATACCAGATCTCGAGCTGGTTGGAGATAAGTGAATGTACTTTCGGTATTTTATACACACACATACCTTCCACAGATTTCATAGATAGAGAGTCTGCACATCCATAAATTATAAAGATGACCACCAACTCCTTGTTTCTGTGTCCAAAGTCAGCAGAAATAATGTGCCCTCAAGCAACAGTCTTTGATCGGGTCTTTGAGGCCATATGTGCAAGGTTCTGGGCAACACTGGATCAGCGTATTCAGGGGATATAGGTAACGGCAACCAAGAGAATCTGGCTCCAGTGCCTGGTGCATTTGCAACTCCCCAGGACTCGGCTAGACCGCTAGCCAGCTGGAAAAGGTCTCTTGAGCCTAGTCGGAGGCTTCATAGACCACATCATGAAAGCACCATTACCTATCTGGAGGGCTCATTGAACATCACCTGAAAACTCCCTTGGAGAGCCAAGTTAGCCCGCAACCGCAGCCACCTACTGAGGCTTTGAATACTACTAGGCCTCGAGATAGAACCCCCAACCAGTATTTCTCTCCAGGCGAGTTGGATTACAGGATTCCTGCGATGAGGTTGTCTTCCCAAAACTTGGAGTCAGTTGATAAGCAGTCTTATATCTGTTTAGAGTTATGGCAGGAGACTTCCCTAAGTCGTTTTATCTACCTAGTTGCTAATTTGTCTACTTTACATACTATACAGACCTACTAAATTGATGATTTGACTGCTCCAGTGGCTATATATATATATTTGTATGTTTAAGCTATTTCTGTTTATCGTCATTTATTCTTGTAAATCTATAAAGTCTCTGTCCGAGTGCAAGTTAAGAAGAGCATCAACCAAATATTTGTTTATTTTCGCTTAGATCACTGCTTCTGAGAAATATTTATTTGACAGTTTCTTTAATGAAAACGAGACATTATCCATCTTTATGAGCTAGTTTTTGCTGTTTGTTACCTCTGACATGTTGATTAGATATATACTACTTTCATTGGAATGTACTATTCTTTATGGCTCAATTTAAAATTGAAATTACAAAACAAAAAAAAAGATATAGGAAATAAATAATGAATAACATACATATTATGATTTTCTTGTAACAGATTATCTTGCAGTCAATGCACAAATACAAGCCACGTGTTCACGTCATTGTCCAGAATTCCAGATTCGATTTGTCTCAGATTCAGTCCCTGCCAGAAGAAGGTGTTAAAACATTTTCATTCAAAGAAACAGAATTCACTACAGTGACAGCGTACCAAAACCAGGAAGTGAGTCAAAATCCAACAGTATCACTGTGTCATATATTTATCTAACACTGTCTCTTTAACAGCACTAGGAGAATCTGTGTGCGTCTCTCTGCATTACTGCAAACCATAGAGTGTTGGGGTCACTCAAAAATGCCCCTGTTATATGTTCAAGCAGACATTGACAGGGCTAGTCACTAAAGAGAGAATTCAAAGTAAATTTAAAATTCAAGGTAAAACTAACCAAACTGGAAAAATTATCTAAGTCAGCTGTGCTGTGCTCAGAGAGTTTTGCAACATACTCAAACATTATACAGGTAAAATATTAACATTATGTTGGCATATGCTCAATGATGACTCCATGATACTCACACTGCGCCAGAATGAACTATTAACCAAGTGGGAACTGTTCGTTGATAGCCGTCCGTCATCCTCTACCTGTTGTGAGGTATATTGGGGGTTAGTTTTAAGAGCCGGCCCCCTGTGGCTTCTTCAACGTGGTTGCTGTGTCCTGGGTGGAGTAATGGTGATCACTTAGCAGTTTAGGTGTAAACATGGCCACCTCTATGCCAGGGGAAAACTGACATCAAAACCTTCATCATTGCTTTTGAAAGGGGATGGAGAGTGGTGTTGATAATACATATAGGGAGCTCCACTACATTGTGTGCCATGTAATGCATGACTCCCAAGTGTCCCTATTTAGGAGGGACAGTCTCTATTTTGGGTCAAAGTCCCTCTTTTCTATCCTAATGTGCCTCTTTCTAGGAGCTCCATATAATTGGTGTGTTTAAGTGTATAACAGAGCTCGACAGCAACAATTCTCCCAGTAATGTGTCTTTTACAATAAATGTGTTTGGAAATCAGTCTGTGGAAATAAGATACTTATTCTAAATTATATTTTATTTGCATAAATTGCTATTAGTAATTCACCTATTCCTAATTCACGCATTTAGGAACACCAGGGAACAGCCCCCAGGCAGCACAGTGTAAGTGCATTATTAGACCCAATTGTGCACTGCAGCGAGCACTAGAACCATGTAGGGAGCGCTGTAGAATCTGACCCACTGATGTCTGGAGCAGGCCATGCATGCTGAGTTGTGGGCCGTCCCACCAATTAAGGGTGCTGCTAGTACCCGCCCTGACCGCCCACCAATTAAGGGTGCTGCTAGTGCCAGCCCCCCAATTAAGGGTGCTGCAAATGCCTGCCCACCAATTAAGGATGTGCTAGTGCCCGCCTACTAATTAAGGGTGCTGCAAGTGCCCGCCCACCAATTAAGGGTGTTGCTTGTGCCCACCCACCAATTAGTAATAAATTAAAGTCTGTTGGAGATTATAGTTTATGTTTATGTTAGTTAATGTTGCCAGTGACACCAACCACATCCCAAGCACCACCCTTAATTAGTGGGTGGGCACTAGCAGCACTCTTAATTGGTGGGTGGGCACTAGCGCCACCCTTAATTGGTGGGCAGGAACTAGCAGCACTCTTAATTGGTGGGAAGGCACTAGCAGCACCCTTAATTGGTGGGCGGGCACTAGCACCACCCTTAATTGGTGGGCGGGAACTAGCAGCACTCTTAATTGGTGGGTGGGCACTAGCACCCCCCTAATGGTGGGCGGGCTCTAGCAGCAACCTTAAACGTAGTTTTCAAAAATTGTACTTTGCTCATACAGCAGATATAAAATAGAAATCGTTTAATAATCTAATACAAAAAAACCCTTGTTTTCTTTGAAAATGTATATGCATCTAAAATGATCTAGATACAATATATTTACACAGTATTGCAGTACACATTTAAAGGTACGTTTTAGAAATGTAAGGAAAAGGCCCCTTTAGGACTAATCTGATTAATGATTGAAGGTTTGCATCATCTTAAAATTTCGGTAAATTAAGTATAAATGAAGAGAATACATTTGTACAGCTTTTTTTTTTAACAGTGGTGATAAATATATATTCCTTATCTAAATCCTTATATATTTTAATATAATGTAAACAATATATCCAAATTTAACCTACTTACTTTACATTAGCATGTAAATAAAATCGTATAAATTATTATATGTGTGTAATAAATATTAATTGTTCATTTATTGCAACATATACATTAATATACCACTTCTATAGACTGACACATATAACAAGTAGAAATAAAATAATTAGAGTCCATTATGTTAATAAAATATTATTTGCATAAATGATTAAAAAAAATAAAAAATTATAATTAATACATTTTTTAATATAATCAGGCATTCATTAATATTAAGATATATATTAATTTATGGTAAACTTGGCTTAATAATCACATAGTAAATATTTTAATTTATACATGTAATGTAATAGTGCTTGTGCCTTCTTTGTCGTTAATGTATACTAGACTGTATAATTGTATCGTTTTTTTAATTTAGTTTTTACTGCACACATTTTATTGAACGTTGTTAATAAATCAATCAACAAAGCTTGAAAAAACATGTACTGTGTTTTGTATAATTTCTTTTTGGTTTTGTTTATTTTTTTTAGATTACTAAACTCAAGATTGACAGAAACCCTTTTGCAAAGGGATTTCGGGATCCTGGTAGAAACAGGTAAATGAAAGGACGTGAAAACTACACTTCATTGGGGGATGGGAGGCAAACCCAGAGCAGTTAGAAAAATATTCCGAATATTAACCAATTGTAAAACAAATTCACAATATTTATAATTTAATTTAATTTTTTATTTAAATCTAAAACTGAAAAAAATACAGCCCATAAACCTGTAATACTGTGAAAATAGTGGATCCACTAGGGAAATCCTATTCACATTTTTAATTTTATTACTTGGATTTTTCACACCGTAGTGCTTAGCTGATTTTGAGTTTTTTATTTACTGCTTACATTTATACGTTGTTACAAGTTATTCTTCTAAAAGTATATATTGTCTATTTCAGCTGGTCCAGCTAATTTTTAATATATTATTATATTTATGTGTCATCATGTGTCAGAAAGAGAATAATTTGCACTGTTTCTCTATAACAATAAATAAATAAAAATCATCACATTGCATTTCATGTAAAAAAGATAAAATACAGATTTATAAAATGGCTATACTTTCTAAAAACACCTACTGTATGTGAGAAAATTAGCATTTGTGCTTTTATGCTAACGCGTCATACCCTGAATCAAATATTGCAAGATAAAGGACATACTGTCTGAAGCCTTCCATTTCCAAAACATTTTTATAAACAATGAACGAATAAGTAAAAAATAAAAAGTGTGTACATTTACATATTTTTTTTTTAATTTGACTGCAAAGCACTATATACACAAATTCGCTGTGTTACGATATGTTTACATGCTAGCTATGCATCTCACGTTTCAAATAAATGTTATGCGAATATTTTTTCAATCGAAAAGCGCTTGGCAGTAAAGGGGTTAAAACAAAACCAGACATCATTTCTATAATAGCATTCTGTGTTGATGTGTCTGGAAAATAAATATAAAAAGCTCACAAAAAACCTCTTAGTATGTAAAACCATTTCTTAATTTCTTACGATATGTAATAATTGGCCTCCCTACATGATGACCTGATCCCACCCTAAGCAAACTGGAAGAACAGTTTGTGCACTTAAAGGGTTAAACGCGGGCAAGTAGTTTCATTTTCTGAATGTGGTTCTAAATAATTGAAAGATTTAGTAATAATTTGCTATTTGATTAATATATAACTGCTAGTGCTTTAAAAGTGATTGTTAAATTATTTAAAAAATTTTAAATACATTTTTAATAAAAATAATTTCTATTCAAATAAAACCACCTTATTTTTTTACATTAATTATTTATTCTCAATCACTTATTCTCCCTCAAACGTTGCAAAGCTGACCATCGTTACATCCGTTTTATCTTTCAGAGGTGTGTTGGATGGCCTTCTGGAGACCTACCCGTGGAGACCATCCCTTCCTCTAGATTTTAAGACCTTTGGGGCAGAAACACATGGTAAGTGAACTGGCGGCTGGAATACTAGCATCGTGGGATTAAAAGGAACATTGCGCAGCCATTAATCAACCTGTTTACGATGGCGTATTAGGATAGAGAAAGTACAGGTGCTACACGCTCACTGCGTTTTGCTTTACAGATGTAAAACACAAGATATAAAGCAGGTTCGATCTACGACTAGTGTTAAGGGACTTAAACGATACACACAAGTTAAACTGTATAATAAATCAAATCCATACTCAGAAACGTTCTGTTATTCGACGTGGCTATTTACGATATGGATATCAAAAAATATACGTGTTCTTGAGGATTATCTGTTTTTACATGACATTGTTGCTCGGATAATAGATATAGAAGTCTGGCAAATGTGTCTGTTTGTGATCAAACTATATATTATACTGACTTAAGGCGCGAGTGCACGGGGCCCCTTCCTGTAGGTGACAGCACAAAACGTGTTAGAATACTATCGCCGGCTGCAGGCAGCTAGCCAGTAAAATTGAAGGCACTTTCAGTTTTACACCTGTAGTCCTTATGGCATTTCTGTCAAAGGTGTTTATAACATGCTGGATAGTACGTATTTATAGCATAACGTGTTTTTTTAATCTTGATATTAAATGAGGAAAGGGCTCTTGCTGCAGGCTAGCTAGTAACGAGCATGATAAAGATATGTTTCACGAAGCTCTGGTTTATGGCGCTAGCTGTGGGTAGATATAAAAATGTTAAAAGAACGCTGCACAGTGAGCGTTATAGAAATCGCAGCCGAACATCGGGAAGCTTACTCGTTTCCTAAGATTTGAAGGGTCATTGTCATTAAGCAGGACACCATTGATTTGCTGCATGAGTAAAACCGTTTATGGTTTACTGCGATGGTAATCATTTTATTGTTGTACTCAGTGCTGTACTGATCCACTGTAAAGCAGTATAACCTGCGATGTAGATTTAACCCTAACTTTCAGTCCCAATAATTTGTAATAACCCCAAAACTTTACCCTAAGCTCCAAAACCCTAGTTGCCCCTAATGCTACAAATCTCTCTAACTTACCTCCAAATGTATTTATATATTTATAAAATATTTTACCAGGAAGGATACATTGAGATTTCTCTTGTTTTACAAGTATATCAAATATAACTTTACCCTAGAAGTATTATTGATGATATTAAAGGAGAGAATACTGCTGTATTTTTATAGATCTATACCATTAAAACATAATGATCCAATGTCAACATTTAAACCTCACTGTGAATTTAATGCATATTTTGGCATTTTAGATAGATTAGATAGAGAGACAGACAGACAATGATTTCTAAGTGATTATAATGCATATTTCTCATCTGTTCCCAGTAGGAAGCTCGGGCTCTTCCCCTATCACCTCCAGTGGTGGAACGCCATCGCCTCTCCTATCTCCATCCTGCTCCCCTACTTCATTTCACTTACCATCTAGCAACCTCGGAATACAATGCCCCGAGAACTATCTGCACAATCTCAACATGCCGCTCTGCTACAAAATCTGCCCTACCAACATTCTCAGACCAAGGTCTTTTCTGCTTTCAAACCATGAAAAACCTGTTGGACCAGGCGGTCATATTCTTTCTCCTCTCATGGTCGACGTTCCTCTGCTTTCTTCATTTGGGATCTCAAAGTCCAACAAACTGGAAACTTATAAGGGTCATTGTACGCAATCCCCGCCGTCCTCCAATCCAATGTTATTTGGATTACCGTCGTCTGGAAACCATTTCCCATCAAATGCTATATCTCGGGAATCCCTGAACTATGGTTTACATCCTCCCTACGGCTTTTATGGCTACAATCTTTCGGTGCCATCTCACTTTATGACCGCAGCGAGCCATTTAAAAATGGCGGACAGTTTTCCATGTTCTTTAAGGGACGTCAGATGCAATAATCCACATTGGCAATCTACAGTAAATCACTGCTTGTAAAGGAACATTATTATAGACTATTATGACATGTAAACAATTATTTAAAAGTAAAATTCCGAACATTTGAGTTGACTAATATTGGGTAGATAAATCATGTTGTATGAATTTACAAGAGATGTAAAAAAAAATGTTAAAAGTATTTTTTTTATATATATGACGGGTTACAGGGCAAGCAATAAATACTCATTAAGGTTAATCCTTGATATTAGTAATTTTGCATTAAATATTGTGCATAATTATTAGTAAAAGCAATGCTTTTATAAATGGCATCGTTGAATGAGTCGCTGTAAAGTAATAATTCTTTCTGTATATTTCCCCCTCCTTACCTTGGATTTAATCATATGTAATAATATTAAATAAAATAAGAGATTATATACATTATTTATGGCTATGTGGAAATGTTGGAAGATATTTTCTAAACAGTAGACATTGAAGGAGCTTTATCTCCAGGGATAATGTCCCAGTCATTGATCTATTGATAAATATAACCTGTTATATCTGGGATAATCACTGCAGATAGAAACATAGAATGTGACTGCATATAAGAACCATTCGGCCCATCTAGTCTGCCCAATTTTCAAAATACTTTCATTAGTCCCTGGCCTTATCATATAGTTAGGATAGCCTTATGCCTATCCCACGCATGCTTAAACTCCTTCACTGTGTTAACCTCTACCACTTCAGCTGGAAGGCTATTCAATGCATCCACTACACTCTCAGTAAAGTAATACTTCCTGATATTATTTTTAAACCTTTGCCCCTCTAATTTAAGACTATGTCCTCGTGTTGTGGTAGTTTTTCTTCTTTTAAATATAGTCTCCTCCTTTAATGTGTTGATTCCCTTCTTGTATTGAAATGTTTATATCATATCCCCCCGTCTCGTCTTTTCTCCAAGCTATACATGTTAAGATCCTTTAACCTTTCCTGGTAAGTGTTACCCTGCAATCCATTTACCAGTTTAGTAGTCCTTCTCTGAACTCTTTCTAGAGTATCAATATCCTTCTGGAGATACAGTTTCCAGGGCCAGACTGGCCCACTGGGATACCGGGAAATTTCCCGGTGGCCCGCGGCACCTGGGGGCTGCGCTGCGCATACAGGTGCCACCGGGTGGCCAGTCCGGTGGCACACTCAGAGGAGGCCAGCCGCGTTCCAGGCTGGAGCCGCCGGGCCGAGTGGCAGCCTCGCCGGCGGCACTCCTAATGCTGAGGACTGAAGGAGGAGGGAGCATGTCTCTCTACCATGCTTCCTTGCGGTTCCCACAATCCCCACAATTATTAGTCTCCTAATGCTGAGGACTGAAGGAGGAGGGAGCATGTCTCTCTACCATGCTTCCTTGCGGTTCCCACAATCCCCACCAGTAGTGAGAGTGAACTCTAGCCCCATACACACAATGCCCCCCCCACACACCATACACATTCACACACTGCCCCCCCCCACACCATACACATTCACACACTGCCCCCCCATACACACATTGCCCCACACATGCCACATATTCACACACTACACCCCCCCACACCCACACACTGAACCTTTCACACACACTGTAACCCTCACACATTGCACCACTGCTCCTATACCCTACTACAGCCCCATATCCCAGCAGACTCCAGGTAAGGTGTCAAACTGTTCTTATACGGTTTGACTACTTACTCTGGGAGTGGGTCCCCGCACTCCTGGAACCATAACCTATACCTATTATATTTACACATATACTAATGTACATTTATATATGCATTATACACAGAGAAATGTCATTAATATGTACCATATGTAATGAGCAGATATTGGCCCAGTCTTGTTGCTAGGTGCATACTCCAGCACAATAACATATTTAAAGTGAAGAGAACACCCACAGGACTTCAAAATAATTTTTTTTTTACATTTGTGCCCTACATACATTCACCATTTCAGTCCCATTAACAAGCTTTCCTTAATATGTCAAGGTAGTCAGACAGAAACATCGATTACATGCAATGGCACGTCTGCTTAAAATAAATCTGCACTTTTGTTTATTTTGAAGCCTATGAGTGCGCTTTTTACGTTGGAGTAATAATTTTTAATTTTAAGTTATCTGTTCTAACTCTGTATCTGCACAATATGCTGGCGCAACGCATTATGGGGGCCAGTCACTTCCTCCCAGCTTACTGCTCGCGGGAGGAGAGCGAAGGGAGAGCGGAGGGAGAGCAGAGGACAGGAAAAAGGAGAGGCATCCGCTCGCTCCCATCATCCCCAGCCACCCTCCTGCAACTTAAAGGTAAGAGGAGGGTGGCTGATAAATGAGGTGTGTGTGTATATGTATGTATGTCTGTGTGTGTATGTATGTCTGTGTGTATGTCAGTATGTATGTCTGTGTGTATGTCAGTGTGTATGTCTGTGTGTGTATATATGTCTGTGTGTGTATGTCAGTATGTATGTCTGTGTATGTGTGTATGTATGTCAGTATGCATGTATGTCAGTGTGTGTATGTCAGTATGTCTGTATGTATGTATGTGTGTATGTGTCTATCTGTATGTGTGTGTGTATGTCAGTATGTATATATGTCTGTATGTATGTCTTTGTCAGTATGTATGTCTGTGTATGTGTCTGCAAGTATGTATGTCTGTGTGTGTGTATGTCAGTATGTATGTCTGTGTGTGTGTCAGTATGTATGTATGTATGTCAGTATGCATGTATGTCTCTGTGTGTGTATGTCAGTATGTCTGTATGTATGTGTCTATCTGTATGTGTGTGTGTTTGTCAGTATGTATATATGTCTGTATGTATGTCTGTGTGTGTGTGTGTGTGTGTATGTATGTCAGTATGTATGTATGTATGTATATATCTGTCAGTATGCATGTATGTCAGTATGTCTGTATGTATCTGTGTATGTATATATCTATCTGTGTGTGTGTGTGTATATCAGTATGTATGTGTATGTATGCCATTATGTGTTTGTATGTATGTCTGTTTGTCAGTATGTATGTATGTGTGTGTCAGTATGTGAGTATGTATGTATGTCAGTGTGTGTGTGTGTGTACATCAGTGTGTGTGTGTGTATCTGTATCTGTGTATGTGTCTATATGTGTGTATGTCTGTTTCAGTATTTGTGTCTGTTAGTATGTGTGTATCTTTCTGTGTCTTTGTCCTTTTGTGTCTGTGTGTGTATATTCCTGTGGGCTGGATTTGGAGGTGGGGCTTGGAGGCAGGCACACGGGGGCCCAGACCTTGACCTGTGTTAGGGGCCCCGCAATTTCTGATGGCAGCCCTGACTGTGTTTATGTACTTTCAGCCTATGTTCGGCTACATTAAGTATTCATTGAGCTTTCAGTACATGTCGTTTACTTATTCACCATGGTTCAGTACATTTGGCCTATGTTCTGCAACACTACATATCATTTTAGCTCAGTACATGCAGCTGTGTTTGGCCGCATTACATACGTTCAGTCACGCAACATTTGGTTTCAGTACATTTGGCCTACATTCAGCCACACTACATTTGGTTTCAGTACATTTGGCCTATATTCAGCCACACTACATTTGGTTTCAGTACATTTGGCCTATATTCAGCCACACTACATTTGGTTTCAGTACATTTGGCCTATATTCAGTCACTTTACATAGTCATACATTTTTGTTTCGGCTCAGTACATTTAGTGTATGTTGGGCCATGCTACTTTTTATTTGGTTCAGTTCATTTGGCCTATGTTCGGACACGCTAGGTAGTCATTTTTGATTTAGTACTCTATGCTTACATTCAGCCAAGCTAATTTTTTTCCCATTTGATACATTTAGCCTACATTCGGCCTACATATGACTATGCTACATGTTCACTTACTTCAGTACGATCGGCCTACATTCACCTGTGCTGCATAGTCACTTTGTGATACTACAAAGGTACAGTTTGCCTCAGTTCATCATACGATTACCAATTGTCAGAAGTGAAGGGTAATGGGGTCCATGTTCATAACAAACTAAACATCTACAGTAAGAGCTACACTTGCAGGTTCTCACCATTTTATCTATTACGTTATTTGGTAATTTCCAAAAGTAAATGTCTTCATTGCTTAGGAGATGAAGTATGCTCATCTAACTACTTCATTCAATATACCAGGTTTTGTTAGGGGGCATGACATAATGTTATAACATTCTCAATTAATCTACATGTCCTCACTGTTATGTTTTATACTATGTCTTTCTGTCACTATGCCTACTTTTTCCACGCTGGTGGCTAGTTATCCACAAGTTGATATTTTGTGATTATATACCCTCGCCTCTTGGTATATACCATACAGGGGTCATGTTATTAATTTATTACCTTACGACCCATTTTACGTGTCTATACATGTTACGAACGTATCAGTACGTCAAGTCTCACCATTTACTTAATAATTTGCTGGCAAGGAATCTGGGTAGATGTAGTCCAGAACATCTGGAGTGCCGAAGGTTGCCTACCCGTGTCCTATATTTATTCACAAAACCGTGAGTTGTTAGGAACAGGGAATTGCAAATCTTAGGTCAATACAGCTGAAATTGAAAAACTCTTATTATGCTCCCGGCTCTGATATATTGGCCTATAATTTTCAATTTCTTGGAGAATTTCTGACAATTCACAGTTTAGTAAGTAACAATGTGCATGTTTATAATGTAATAATTTAACTTAATCCACCAACCCGGGGAATCTGTGATTTAATGTAGCGGTTGGGTGGACTCTGATGTTTCTCTCCTAATTAGATAATAATTTGTATCACAATTTTGTAAACCGATGTGGATTATATATCTAAAATGCAAAGAAAATGGTATACAGAACATTTGATATCCAGCCAATCTCTCAAACTATTTACATACCCTGTCCCTGCCAACCCGGACATGTTGTTTCAATAAAATTTTAGAAAGGAAAAGCGTAGGTAGACTGCCATCCAAAATGTTCCAATGTTCATGTTTACAAATTTGTGCGGACTGTTAATATATAAACATACCTTATTGTGAACAGATGTATGCAAGGTATCATAAGTGTGTTA